CCCGAAGGGGTGAGACCAGTGGAGTATCTTAGATGGCTGCTCACAGGCTTTTAAGACCCCAGACGCTACTCAACAAGGCAGAATGTAGAACACTGTCTTTATAAACTGGGTTATGCCAATTGAGCTAGATGTTCCCCGAGACCATGGTCCCCACAGCCCTCAGCCCGACAATTCAGTCCTTCAGGGAGTTTGGATGTGTCTATGGAGCTTCCATGACCTTGTCTTGTACAAGTTGTGCTGGTTTCCCCAGTATTGTGTACTGTCTTACCTTTCACAGAAGTTACCACTTGTCTATTGTCTATTTAGTGTTAATGACTGATTTTTTGGAAGTGGGTTGCCAGGACTTTCTTCTGAAGTGCCTCTGGATGGAACTTCCAATCTTTTGGTTGGCAGCCAAGTACATTAACTGTTTGTGCCAACAACGGACTTCAGTCTCATAAAAATTTACAAATACAGGCTTGGAAAGGACTGCCAAGCATGAATAATGGAAAAATGAACTCCCTACAGGAAGCTGAGAGTGCTGAGGCACTTAAAAAGATGAATTTAGCTTTCTTGACTGGATTGGATATGCTTATTGTGTCCATAGCCCCTTTTAGAAATTTTGTTTTCACCCATAGCCCCAGGAAAGAGCAGTCTACATGCCTTCTGTCAATGGTACACACCTTCTGTCAACTGTACACACCTTCTGACAATGGCTGATTGGACCTCTGATAGGCACTCAATCCATTCATTGGCTGGCCAGTAACCAATCATATTCTTTCTCAAAAATTTCAAGGATGAGACACAGTTAGTGGAAGATGTTAGTGGATGTAGGATTGGGGCAAGAATGTCAGGTTTTGTCCAGCTGAATGTTCAGTAAGCAGAGAAGCCTGTCTGCACAGAGCAGCAGTAGAATGGGGGTACGCGTCTTAGAGAAAAGACAAGAGACCACGTGGTTACAGAAAGGTGGAAGAAGTAGCCTGTATTCTTGATTTTCCAGTACTGGTCTTTGTGAGGGCTGACTGTACTTAGGGTCTTTGGAGGTATTGTATCTTTACAATAATCACCCCACTTTCAGATGCACTCTTTTTTTTGTGTGTGTGTGGCTTGAGTGGGTGTCTGTTCCATGAATAATACCAACTCTTTCTCCAACATCCATCCAGGCTACTGGGTATTGAAATAGAAGTCTTAGTGTAAAATCTTATGATTGTAACTAGATTAAGGCATTTCAGATTACAGGAGATGATTAAATCCCATATTACCCATTCTTTCTTTCAACACAACTAGATCAGTTCTAAATTTTTGTAACATGAAAATTTTCTGCCCAGAATCCAGTCTAGCCTCTTTCTTAAACTCCATCTTGACATTTTGCTGTCAGATTAGCTTTAGCTAGGCAGGGGCTCTGCCATTCAGTAAACTGTGCTCCAGCTGTTAACAAACAAACCACCCTTCCACCCCTTGTGTTCATCTCATTTCTTGAAAACGCAGGCCGTTGCCCATGTCCTCCTGTTGACAATTTGGTGTTAGAGCCTGCCAGGCAGATTTTCTCTAACTCTGGGATGTCCAATACTGTGCAGTGCTCTCTTCTGGAAATTTCCAAGATCAAGATCAAGGTACAAGCTTGTCCCAATTATCTACCCAAGAATGTGGGCAGGACCACATAAAACCACATTTTTCCAGCAGACTGGACACGTGGTGATTTTTTTCAGGTCACTAATTGGCAAGCCCAAGTGTTCTAAACTGTGGGAGATATGGGATTGACTTGAGAACTTGTCACATCTTGTAAAGTTAAGGCCACTCATCTGAGTAGTTTCGTGCCGGTCATGGTCTCTAAGTTTGGCTGAATTAACACTGCTCATCAGTTCTTTTGTTTATCCTTGTTCTGTTCTGGTCCCACTTCCTTGTAACATTTGCTACCCTCCTCAGTGCCCTTTCAAAATTCTTATACCCTTCTACATAGATTACTTAGCTTTATATTTCAGAGAGAAACCTGAGGTTATTCATCCTGAAATTCTCTGGTTCCTATTCTCTCTCTTCATAAAGAAGTCGACAAATTTACTAACTCCATTTTTTTTCGCACTTATTTAATCCATTGGAATCTGACTCTGCCTCCTCTACTCCACAAAAGCTACTTTGGTAAAAGTCATCAATGGCTCCGGGCTTTAAAAAGTTGGTTCCAGTTGTCTAATGCACCATTTCCTGCCCTCCTTGCCTGGTTAACTCCTATTCTGTATTCAGAACTTATTTCTTCAGGTAGTCCTTCTCTACCCTGAGGTTGGGTTAGGATCCCTTACAATTTGTTTCTGTAGCGCTCTTTGAATCAATTTTCATACTCTCATCAGCCATACAATTACTATTCATTAGTTATATTCTTGCTTGACTGAAATGTCCACGTGACCATCTGGTAGACTGATTTTTCCTCATCCCTAGCACAGTGCCTACAGTAGAATTGAATTGACTGAGGGAAATCTCAGTTTCTATAACTACAAAAGTTACCATGTTCCTTCCTCTTAGGGATAATATGATGATTAATAAGCAACTATTTCCCATTATGTACCATACCAATATGCCACCAAAGGCACTGAATGTCAAAGACAAGAGCTCTTTTGCGAGCTTAGTAAGACCAAAATAGGTCAAATATTTAAATACAGATTTAAAACATTTTGAGAGACAGGATAGCATAGTGTTTAAAAGCATAAACTCTAGAGCCAGGATGACTGAGCCCTCCGATTTAATAATCATGTGACCATACACAGGCTATTTAACTTCTAAGTTTCGTTTTCCTTATTTGTAAAATGGAGAAAATAATACTACCTATTTCATAGGGTTTTTGTGAGTGTTATATAAATATGTATAAAGTGCTTAGAACATTGCCTGACACATGGTATGCATTTAGTAAGAGTTAGCTACTATTATCATTAATCTTGAATGTTATCGAAAGACCCCATTAGCATAAACCCCATTTTCTTAGGGCCATCTGGTTACATTTTATTCGTAAAATCTGTGTACTAAGGATACGACTAAAAGGTACAGATATTATTAGAATAAGACTTCCATGAGGCCTGGGACTCTTGACTGTTGGTCACTGCTATGTCCCCAGTTGATAGACTAACCAGTTGCCATCAAGCTAATTCTGACTCATGGCATCCCCACGTGTGTCAGAGTAGAACTGTGCTCCATAGGGTTTTCAATGGCTGTGATCTTTTGAAAGTGGATAGCCAGGTCTTTCTTTTGAGGTGTCACTCGGCAGACTCAAACCATCAACATTTCAGTTAGTAGTAGAGTGCTTAATTGTTTTTGCCACCCTGGGACTCCTGTAGCTGGAGTAGTCCCTGCCACATAGTGGTGCTTAGTAAATATTTGATGAGTTAAATGGCAGGCATCCAACGCTCCTCTCTGTATATTTTTGTGGAGCTCAGTGAGAATTTAATTCCAGCCCCCGAAAATTTGCAATAATAATTTACATTTAAAATTACAGTATAATAAAAAAGTTAAGCCAAAATATTGTTTGGGTTTTGGATATCAATTTCCAGTGGGTTTATTATAGTCTAGACATGAAATTCATACCATACCAAGAACTATTTTTTTTTTTTTTAAAGGTAATGACAAGAAGATCTTTTTTACAATTACCTGTACTCTGTGGTTATTTGGGCAGACAATCGCTGGTTTGTAGTGAACTGTACTGATTTTAAGAGAAGTAAGCTTTATGGTTGATATGTAAGTGCATTTCTTCCCTTACATGACGCATTGAGTCATTGCAAAATTCTCATGTGCTTTCAGAGATGAACCAGAAAGAAATATAAATCCTGTGACTAATTTCCAATAAATGCAAAACAATTCATTTTGTAGACTCCCAGAATGACTGGATATCTTGGTCAAATCTCTGATTTTGCAGATGAGGAATTTGGAACCTAGAGGGTGCCACAGAGGACCTTTCCCATCCTATGCTGTAAGGCAAGCCATTTCAGCAATGCCATCGTTACAGTGTCAGGTGCTCTGGCAAATGCAGATGATAAAGACACGGCCTGTTCTCGTGCGTGGGGAGATGCTACACATATACGAATCTCTAATACAGAGCCGAATGCAGTAAGTGTTGTGGGTGATGTACAGATTCTATAAGAATTCAAAGGTGCCAGAGAGAGAGATTGCAATTTAAAAATTATGTGTGTTAACAAAGGTTTTCTGAAGACAATTCTAGAGTAGCATTTCAATGCCGAGCTTGAAGCAGAATTGCAGTAAACAGAGATGAAAGCAGGAAGAGGGAGCAGTAGCCGCTGCCGCCATGGAGAAGAGAGCAAATAGGGTGAATTTGGAGACCCAAAAATGACCCTGTCTGGCAGACGCAGGATATGAGTCAGTGAGCAATGAATTGGGACCTGGGCTCCTGGATAAAGTGAAGCCACACTGGAAGAACTTCGAGGTCAGTGTGAAGGGTAGTGGAGACAGTGAGCCAGATTTAGAAAGCAAACCTCATGTCTCAGCGAGTGTTTCTTTAGATGTGAATAGAAGACACCTGTAATCTCTTTCAAACAGCCCTGGTGGTGCAAACGGTTAAGTGCTGCCTGCTAACCCAAAGGTTGGTGGTTCGAACCCATCCAGCGACTCTGGCTCTGCAGGATAAAAGATCTGGCGATCTGCTTCCTTAAAGATTACAGCCAAGAAAACCCTTTGTCACATGGAGTCGCTATGAGTCTGAATCAACTTGACAGCACCCAACAACAGCAATCTCATTATAACCTGTGTAGCTACATATTTACAAAGCCCCCTGAGGAGTGGTTCCCTTTCTGGGAAGAAGGTGGCTAGTTCTGTTTTACGATGCACTTTTAGATGTCGATGTTAGCAGGTGATGATTGGGGGTCTTGCCTTGAGGCTTGGGTGGCGAGTGTTATTTCTGACCTGCGATTGCCAGAGCTGACACAGAGGTTGGAGAAGGTGATGTGTCTACTCTTCTATTCTGACATGAGCTTTAGGGGCCAGGGGCAGGAAACTTGTCTGGGAATGAGTAGGGTCTGTCTGAGCCCCTGCAAAGTCCCCCCAGGGGCATGTGAGAAGAGGAAGAGCTCAGTTTGACCCCGGGATTTCTGTTTCTTGAATATCATCTCATTTTGGAACTAATTTTGTGTGGAAAAAGCTAGACCCAGGCCCTCCAAGATCTCTCTCTGTCTCTCTCTTTTTAAGCCCTTTCTCTTTCTCCTCGCCCTTTCCCTTGCTTTCCTTTCCCCAGTGGTTTGCAAATCAATTCTAAGGCTCAGGTTGCCTGGAGATTTTGTAGTGGGGAAAAGGAAAGAGAAGAGGAACAGTGGAGAAACTGAATCTAATATAATCCTAAAGAGAGAAACCGAAACCTGTGTTCACTGCAGTAGTACAAAGACAGAGCTGACGGGATGTGATGAGAGTAATTAACAAACAGAGCCTAAACACCTACCATGTACTGCTGGGGAGATGAAAGAGATGAACACTGTTTAATTCAAGGTAGAAACAGTTAAGTGTATAAAAATAAACACTAGCATTTGTATAGTGTTTTAAGTTTGAAGAGTTTTTTTTCTTGTATGATAGCTCATTTGGTCCTCATGACCCCCACCTGAATGAATATTATTAATAACGTCACTTCACAGATGAGGAGAGTGATGCTCAGAAAGGCCAAGCGTGTCTAAAGTCATGGAGCTAGAGCTGAGACTGTGGACAAGGTCATCAGCCTCTTTCTCTTGACCCTGCAGGCTGATGGCAGCTGATATAAATATTCCCAATTTACAGGAAATGTGTAATCATGGAGCCACATTTTGTCATTTCCCACAACTTATTAAGTCGTGAACCCACATAGAATAAAAACGAAAACCCTTACCTTCTGCCACAGTTACCACCAAGCAGCAGACAAGGAACCAGTAGGAGAAGCAGAGTCTGCGAGCCATGGCTTCTACCCGAGCAGTCACTGTGCTGAACCCAATGCGGCTTTAAAGAGGGGTGGTGAGTCACCCACAGCCTGATTCAGGTAATGTGCATCTGCTTAGTGGACCACTGTGGTCAGGGCTTGCGGTGTGAGGATAAGAAATCAGCCAGGAAATACCAGACAGTATTTATCAACCAGATGCTTCTTGTGATGACAGCCAAACATCATTCATCTCTCCTTGGAGTCAGATTTTGGACAACTACACCCTGGCAACACTTTTAATCCCCTCAAATCTTCTCCCATGTTAACGCCTTCTCTTTCCTTGTGTGTAGGTGTCTCAGTCTGCAAGAGAAGGAATCTGCTCGGGAGATAATCAGTGCTGCTTCCCTCTGCGTAGTTTGTTGTTGTTAGATGCTGTTGAGTTGGCTCCAACTCAAGGCAAACTTATGTACAACAGAGCCAGCATGTTCAAGTCCATGCCTGTGACTACTGTGCCACTCCATCTCACCGAGGGTCTCCTCCATCCTTGTTGGCCTTCTACTTCACCAAACTACCTCCTGATGATGTGTCCAAAGTAAGCGAGACGGAAACTGTTCTGTTGTGATCCAGTAAGGTTTTCGTTGGCTAATTTTTGGAAGTAGATTGCCAGGGCTTTCTTCCTAGTCCATCTTACCTTGGAAGCTGCACTGAAACCTGTCCACCATGGGCGACCCTGCTGGTATTTGAAATACCAGTGGCATAGTAGCTTCCTGCATCATAGCAATACACGAGTTACCACAGTATGACAAAATGGAAGACAGGGGTGGCTGTGTAGCTTACTTATTTAAAAAAAGCAAAACTCCACATGGTTTGAAGAGTTGTCCATAGACCTCCTACCAGAATTTATGACTTCACTTTTTTACTTTTGTCCGGAAGGCCAGGGCAGCAGAGTCAGAAAACTGTCTTGTCTGGTAGCCATGACAATCACTGTCTAAACAAACAAGACAACTTGGGGGAGTAACTTAGTGAGTTGTCCTTCTAGAACTCCTTCTGATTCACCAAATTGCATATAAGGTGGACATAATATATCTGAGCCTCAGTTTGTTTCCTGAGAAAAGGGCTTCTGTCTGCCAGCTGCTTGAGGAACTAGAGGAGATAGTCGAGAGTGATTAACAGCATTGATCTTGGAGTTAGGAAAAACTGGATTCCAATCCTGTTTCCTTTTCTTACCATCTAGGTGACCATGGGTGAATCAGTACCTGAGACTTGCTGAAACCTCATGTGCCACATCTGTAAAATGGATTTGTAGCACCTCCCTCAGAGGGCTGTTCAGATGAATAGACAAGGTAATTGACGAAAAGTTCTAACCGCAATGCCTGGCTTTGCATAGTCAGTAAAACATAGGTAAACATCTTTCTGGTATTCTCTGTTATCAGCCAAAACCCTTCTGATATCAGCAATGATATCCCTTGTTCCACATCCTCTCCTGAATCCAGCTCGAACTTCTGGCATTTCCCTGTTGATATACTGCTTCGATCGCTTTTGAATGATCTTCAGCAAAATTTTACTTGTGTGTGATATTAATGATATTGTTCGATAATTTCTGCATTCTTTTGGATCACCTTTCTTTGGAATGGGCACAGATACGAATCTCTTCCAGTCAGTTGACCAGGAAGCTGTCTTCCAAATTTCTTGACATAGATGAGTGAGCCCCTCCAGCACTGCATATGTTTGTTGAAACATCTCAATTGGTATTGTGCCAATTTTTGGAGCATTGTTTCTCACCAATGCCTTCAGTGCAGCTTGGACCTCTTCCTTCAGTACCATTGGTTCTTGATCATATGCTACCTCCTGAAGTGGTTGAACATCAATCAGTTCTTTTTGGTACAGTGTATTCCATCCATCTTCTTTTGATATTTCCTGAATTGTTCAGTATTTTCCCTGTAGAATCCTTCAATATTGTAACTTGAGGGTTGAATTTTTTCTTCAGTTCTTTCAGCTTGAGAAATGCCAAGCGTGTTCTTCACTTTTGGTTTTCTAACTCCAGATTTTTGTACATTGCATTATAATACTTTACTTTGTCTTCTCCAGCCACCCTTTGAAATCTTATGTTCAGCTCTTTTACTTCATAATTTCTTCCTTTCTCTTTAGTTACTGGATGTTCAAGAGTAAGTTTCAGAGTCTCTTCTGACATCCATTTTGATCTTTTCTTTCTTTCTTGTCTTTTTAATGACCTTTTGCTTTCTTTATGTATGATGTCCTTCCACAATTCTTTGGGTTTTTGGTCATTAGTGTTCAATGCATCAAATCTATTCTTGAGATGGTCTCTAAATTCAGGTGGGATATACTCAAGGTTGTATTTTGGCTCTCGTGGACTTGTTCTAATTTCCTTCAGCTTCAGCTTGAACTTGCATGTGAGCAATTGACCGTTTGTTCCCCAGTCAACCCCTGGCCTTGTTCTGACTGATGGTATTAGCTTTTCCATCGTCTCTTCCCACAGATGTATTCAATTAGATTCCTGTGGATTCCTTCTGGTGAGGTCCATATGTGTAGTCATTGTTTATGTTGTTCAAAAAAACTATTTGCAATGAAGAAGTCGTTGGTCTTGCAAAATTTTATCACGCTATCTCCAGTGTTGTTTCTTTCGCCACGGCCCTATTTTATGACTGCTGGTCCTTCCTCTTTGTTTCCAACTTTCACGTTCCAATCGCCAGAAATTATCAATGCATCTTGACTGCATGTTTGATCAATTTCAGACTGCTGAAGTTGGTAAAAAGTCTTTAATTTTCTCATCTTTGGCATTAGTGGCTGGTGTGTAAATTTGAATAATAGTCATATTAAACTCGCCTTCCTAGTAAGCCTATGGATATTATCCTATTGCTGACAGCGTTGTACGTCAGCATAGATCTTGAAATGTTCTTTTTGATGATTAATGTGATACCATTCCTCTTCAATTTGTCATTCCTGGCATAGTAGACCATATGATTGCCTGATTCAAAATGGCCGATACCAATACATTTCATCTCACTAATGTCTAGGGTATCGATCTTTATGTGTTCCATCTCATTTTTGATGACTTCCAATTTCCCTAGATTCGTAATTCTTACATTTCATTTTCTGATTATTAATGGATGTTTCCAGCTGTTTCTTCTCATTTTGAGTTGTGTCACCTCAGCAAATGAAGGTTCCGAAAGCTTTACTCCATCCACATCATTAAAGCGAATTCTACCTTGAGAAGGCAGGTCTTCCCCAGTCGTCTTTTAAGTGCCTTCCAGCCTGAGGGGCTCATCTTCTGGCACTATATACTATACCAGACAATGTTCTGTTGCTAATCATAAGGTTTTCACTGGCCAATTTTTTCAGAAGTAGACTGCCATGTCCTTTTTCCTAGTCTGTCTTAGTCTGGAAGCTCTGCAGAAACCTGTACCCATGGGTGACCCTGCTGGTATTTGAAATACTGGTGGCATAGCTTCCAGTATCACAGCAACACACAAGCCCCCACAGTATGACACCTTGACAGACATATGGGGTAACCTCTGTACCTGTGGTTATAGTCCCATTTGAGAATGGATTTTCTTTGTTATGTTAATGAGACAGTATTAGAGTAGGGTATATCTTAAGTAAATCTCTTTTGAAACATAAAAAGAGATTAAATAAGCAAGAGAGCAAGCAGAGATGGGGCAGAAGCTCAAAAGAGACAAGGACATTCCTCCAGAGACTACAGACAGAGAAAGTCTTCCCCTAGAGTCAGCACCCTGAATTCGAACTTCTAGCCTCCTAATCTGTGAGAAAATAAATTTCTGTTCATTAAAGCCACCCACTTCTGGTATTTCTCTTATAGCAGCACTAGATAACTAAGACAGAATTCAAATACTCAAAAACCAGAAAATGGTAAATTTCATAGGCTTAATGTTAATCATAGGCAAAACTCCAGAACAGATAATTAAACTGATAATTTGTCAGCAGCTTGAAAAGGAAGCAGCGAGCATCCAGAAGAAGCTCACTTCCTTAGATCCAGACACTACCCACTCATGCAACAACTCTTTTTTTTTTTTATTGTGCTTTAAATGGAGGTTTACAGTTCAAGTTAGTTTCTCATACAAAAATTTATACACACACTGCTATGTGACTTTATTTGCTCTCCCCATACAGTGACAGCACACTCCTCCTTTCCACCTCGGATTTCCTGTGTCCATTCAACCAGCTCCTGTCCCTTTCTGCCTTCTCATCTTGCCTCTGGACAGGAGCTGCCCATTGAGACTCATGTATCTACTTGAACTAATAAGCACACTCTTCACCAGTATCATTTTATGTTTTATAGTCCAGTCTAATCTTTGTCTGAAGTGTTGGCTTCGGGAATGGTTTTAGTTTTGGGCTAACAGAGACTTTGGGGACCATATCTTCTGGGATTCCTCCAGTCTCAGTCAGACCATTAAGTCTGGTCTTTTTACTAGAATTTTGAGTTCTGCACCCCACTTTTCTTCCGCTCCGTCAGGGACTTTCTGTTGTGTTACCTGTCAGAGCAGTCGTTAGTGGTAGTCGGGCACCATCTAGTTCTTCTGGTCTCAGGCTGATGGAGTCTCTGATTTATGCAATGCTTTTATCTCTTGGGCTCATATTTTCCTTGTGTCTTTGGTGGTCTTCATTCTCCTTTGCTCCAGGTGGGTTGGGACTAATTGATGCATCTTAGATGGCCACTCACTAGCTTTTAAGACACTAGATGCCACTCACCAAAGTGGGATGCAGAACATTTTCTTAATAAAATTTGTTATGCCCGTTGACCTAGATGTCCACTGAAACCATGATCCCCAGACCCCTGCCCTGCTACTCTGTCTCTTGAAGTTTTTGGTTGTATTCAGGAAACTTCTTAGCTTTTGGTTTAGTCCAGTTGTGCTGACTTCCCGTGTAATGTGTGGTGTCCTTCCCTTCACCTAAGATACTTCTTGTCTGCTATCTAGTTAGTGAATCCTCCTCTCTTTCCCTCCCCACTCTAGTAACCATCAAAGAATGTTTTCTTCTGTGTTTAAACCTTTTCTTGAGTTC